GAGCGAGAAGCATGGTGGGTCACGACATCAAAGCTGCTCACAGAATATGTTGATGAAGAGCCTTGTTTCTGGATGATTGATGCAAATGCTGAACCAGGCCATGCTGACGACAGTCTTTTGCAAGGGCATGCGGACCACGGCGAACACCATTCACTTCCGGGATTGCCTCAAGCAGCACAATATGTGCTTGCCATCGACGCTGGCCATTCACAGTGGTAGCCGCGACACTTGGACTATGCCCGATGGGGGTGATACCTTTTGCATTGGTTATGTGGCGGTGCCTTCTACGTGGAAAGCCCATTGCACCTGGTCACAAGTCCTTGAGGCCTTCGATCTTGCTACGTCAAGAGAAGATCACAAAGTGGTTGGACTTGAGCTGATTTGGTGGCAACGATACTACCACCATCTACCACCCCATCACCAACAAGGACTGCATCGCTGCAGAATGGTTTCTTCCTGGGGAACAACAAAGAATACGAGAGTCGTTGCAGGACTTGCCCATTCCAGCCTGGAGCACGGACGTTGAGAAGCAGGAACAAGCCCTACGAGCCCAGCTTCGAGAACGCCTTGCACTGCATTCTGGTCCTCCTTTATCAGGGCCCAAGACATATGGCAAGAGACTGCTCAAATGGCAAAAGAAGCTCAAGCTTGTCAGGGGACGCATCAAACAAGAAACCCTCTGGTTGGTGGCGCAAGCTTGGAAGACTCACCGAGGGCCGTCAAAGGCCATTGAAAACTCCAACTACTGCACCACATTACGATGTGATTCTCTGCTCATTATGGTACAGTTTCGGGCGTGCCGACGTAATGTGCGCCAACAGTTCCAACAAGCCAAATATATAAAGCGGTGGAGAAACGACTTGAACAAGTCAATGAGCACACTGCTGCCACCAGTATCCTCCGCACAACGCGCGCATTTCTTGGACCCACCAACCCCAAAAAGGAGAAGAACATGACCTTGCCCATGTTGGAGACTGACAATGGAAGCCTTTGTCAGACGCCTGAAGAGGCGATGCAACAATGGATCCAATTCTTTGCAGACATGGAAGGTGGTACACGCCAATCGACCGAGCGGCTCCGAGAGGATTGGATTACAGCCTTGAGCACTGACGACCAGCCACAGTTTGCAGTCTCAGCGACCTCCTTGCCCACGCTTGTCGACCTTGAGCTTGCGTACCGCAAGGTTGCCTGCGGGAAAGCCACTGGCCCTGACCGCATTCCGGGCGAGCTCTGCCATGCTGCCCCAGCTGCTTGTGCCAGAGCCACTTTTGCTTCCCTCTGGAAGCTGGTCCTATTTGGCCACAAAGCACTTTGCTACAAAGGTGGACTACTTTTCCAAGCTTACAAGGGTAAAGGACAAACTACACGGTGCAGCTCATATCGGTCGCTTTTGATCTCTAACCACATCGGCAAGTCGATTCATCATGCGATGCGCTGCACTCAAGCCTCAATTTTTGAGAAGTTCATGCAAGCGCAACAGCTTGGAGGTCGACGGGCTATGCCCGTCTCCTACGGCGTGCATTTGGTGAGAGCATTTCAACGACAAGCCCGACACTATGGCAAGTCCTGCGCGCTCATCATTCTTGACCTCAAGGAGGCCTTCTATAGAATCTTTCGACCTTTGTGCATGGAAGGCGAAGTGACTGATCAGTCCATTGCCCTCTTGATGCACAGATTGCAGATGCCAAAGGACGCCCTCAAAGTGCTTCGTGGCATCATGAAAGAGCCCTGCGCTTTGCAGCAGGCAGGCATGGGATGGTTGCAGAGGAGAAGCCTGAAGCATCAGAGCAGCGCACTCACAGACACATTTCCAGATGCAGCAACAAAGCGATGTGGTCCAAACGACGCACGGATCTGACCGGGAGAGCCCTTTGCTCATATCATTTTCAGCTATGTTTGGGCGATTGTACTCCACAAGCTGCAGCACTTCATGCAACAGCAAGGTCTTCTGAGCGAATTTCCACACCGCAGCTCCCTGACCCTCTTTGCGACGGGGGTCTGCATCAGGGCCCCAATGACCCTTTGTGGGGCCCACGTGGATGGATGATCTATGTGTATGTATTGAAGGCGAAACCCCTGCAGTTAGAATTCGCAAGGCAGGCCTGACCACGGGCAAGCTCTTGGAGCTCTGCACAGAGCAGCACTGCATGACACCCAATTTACAACGCAACAAGACCGAGATCCTCTTTTCGCTCCGGGGACACGAGTCCAGGCAGTACAAGAAGGACCTTTATGGACCTACAGCAACCCGGCAATTTCCGGTTGTCAACAAATACGGTACGTTCCAGGTACCTGTGACATCGCGATATTGCCACCTTGGAGGCCTCCTTCATCATGCTGCAGACCAGCAAGCTGAGATACGCAGGCGCATGGCGATAGCCCACACAGCAGTGACGCAACATCGGAAGCCCATATTCCGAAACTGGAAACTGCCGCTGAAGAAGAGGGTGCAACTTCTTGAGCCCTTGGTCTTGAGCAAACTTCTCTATGGAGCAGAGACATGGGTTGCCACCGACGACAAGACGGAGAAGTTCTTTCATGCTGCTGTTTTGCGACTTTACAGAAGACGTCTACCTGCGGCCCCTGATCAGCATCTCTCGGACGCTGCAATTCTTTCCCAAGTCAGTCTGCCCAGCCCAGCTGAGCTGTTGCGCACAGCGCGCTTGCGATATGTGGCCACTCTTCTTCATTGTGGAGAACGCCATGAATGGGGACTGATCGAACAGGACCGACCTTGGACCCTGCTCGTGGAGGATGATACGCATGGCTCCAGAATTGCTCGAGCCTCCAAGACCCCAAGGATCACTGGAAGCTGATTGTGCACCACAGGTCATATTGGAGACGCCTTGTCCGGCGAGCCACAGAACATGCTCTTGCGCAGAGGCGCAACGACTGGCACCTACAGGAATTCCACATTGCCGCAGTCCAGGAGATGAGGGAATTCTATGACTATGAACCACATCGACAATGCAATGAGGCCAAGCAGAACGATGTCTACGGCTGCCTACACTGCAGGAAACAATGCAAGAACAGCAGGAGAGGCATCGCACATGTTCAAGGCCCACAAACAGATTGTGCAGCGCAGGCGTTTGGTTGACTCCACATGCTGTCCTGCATGTCTACGAAACTATCATACCATGGAGAAGGTCGTGGCACAGCCACGCCTGCGACAAGATCCAAGGGTTGGCAATGACCTACACCTGGCCTGTGTTGATTGCTTTAAATCGATGCGACCACATTGAGGAGGCGGTCACCCACATCAAAGGACTTGCAGAAGAGCGACCTATTTCCTGGACAACGTGGACCAGAACGCTTGACTTCTTCATTGACGCCCTTGACGAGCAGGACGTTGCCCGCTTTGAGATGGACCTGGAGGCGGCCCAGAAGCAGATTGCGGAGCTCCAATGCCCGATGAGTTGGGGGCTTGTCCCACCAGGCGATTCAGCCCCCCAGACCAGAGAGCAATTGGAGCAGGAGTGCTCTTGGATGTTGCGATCACTGAATGGCAGGCACATGCTCGCATTCCTCGCCAATTTGGAAGGCATCGCGTGCTCCTCCACCTCTTTTCGGGCCGGCGACGACGCCGGCTCCTGACAACTATGTGCTACACGTTGTCAGTGTTGACATCGTCATAGACCCAATTTGGGGAGACGTCATAGACAAGAAGACGCGACAATATTGGTTGGACTTGGCTCACAAAAATTTCATAGCTGGATTTGTGGCTGGTCCGCCTTGCAGAACCTGGCCGCGGGCTCGCGGAAGAAAGATTGCGCACCAGGAACATCAAGATTGATTTCTCCCACGAGTGATCCGCACGGCATGCCACTTGTGCGGACTGCCAAGCCTATCACTGCGTGAGCTGGAACAGATATTCACTGGAAATTGCTTGCTGACGTTCACCCTGCACATGGCATGCAGCATGGTCATCACAGGAGGGATTGGGATAGTCCAGCACCCGGCAGAGCCGCAAGAGCAGGATGCGGCAGCAATCTGGCGGCTCCCCATCATGCAGATGTTGATGGCCGCTCCGGGTGTCACACGCAGAAGGCTCTCTCAGGGCCTCTTCGGTGCCGTGTCGCCCAAACCGACAGACCTTCTTGTGATAAACATGCCTGAGCTTCCACAAGAACTGAGGCAGTGGATGACGAGACGCAAATTGCCAAGGTCAACAGCCATTGGGCTGGACCGCAAAGGCTGTTGACGCACGGGTACTTAAAAGAGTACCCGCCGGCTATGTGTGGAGCGCTAGCCAGTGCACTACGCAAGGGTCTCGATGACCTTAGCGTTGTAGAGTGCGATGAGCCACCTCTGGCGGATTTAGAAAGGTGGAATTCACTTACGGCTACGAGCTATAGTGACCACGTGGGTACAGACTACGCCCGGTGAATCATTGCGTACAATTCAATCAGAGACCCGGTCGCTGCGACATGCAACAATGGACCGCTTGCCAAAAAAACATTATCGATACATATTCGCAAATGAGTTAAAATCTATGCCAACGCTTAAGGTTGCAAAAACAAGGACTTAAATGTTCGAGAACACCCACCTGCAAAAACCTTATCGGTGGAGCTGATTGGTTCCTGGACATCTTCTGGTTGGGCACATTCTAAAAGTTTGTTCATTGCATATCTGGGTTTTAGTTTATTCCCTTTTGCAAGGGCAAACAAGTTGGCTTGGTATTTGCCATACACAAAATAAACCCATCGGCTACTCGGTTACCTTAGTTATAAACCAACCTCGCTATCTATGCTGCACCATTTCGTATCAACCTGTAGCGTTGGCGATGAAAGATGAAAGAAGGTTTAAGGCACTGCTCAATGTTATTTTCCAATGTGGTAAACCCAGTAACCATCCTCACAAATGGATACAATCATCCCGGTAGTTTATGATTGGATTCACCACATTATGGGTCGGAGTCATCCCATCCTAGCATCAAAAACATCCCCATTCTATGGTCCCTCTGTGATTTCATGCACCATTGGACCATCCAAGTTGCAGAGGCCTGGAGTAAAGATGGCTCCAACATCAGCAGCTCGACAGAGACCAGAAATACACTGGTGATAGCCATCCAATTCAGAGACCAAAAAATAACCATTGGCCACCTGTTGTCTTTTTCTTGCCGCTCAGAGAAAGAAACTGGATATCCCATGCTGTTCAAATGTCTTGTTTGTCAATGCCTGGGCATTAGAAAAACTGGACTTTGCAGATTCGAACTCGATACCAGTAGTACCGCACAAGGCGGTGGCGGAAGTTTCAAAAATAGGAAACCTATAGGAAAGGTTGGTGGTTGTGAATCAGGGATGGCAGAGCGAAGCCACTGATGGACCGAAAGGTGCTTGAGGTCTCCTCTCTTTCTCTCTCTTTCTCTGACTATCTATCTATGTATCTATTTATCTGTGCATCTATGTATCTATGTATCTATGTATCTATGCATCTATCTATCTATCTATCTATCTATCTATCTGTCTATCTTTCTATCTTTCTATCTTTCTATCTTTCTATCTATCTATCTATCTATTTATCTATCTATCTATCTACCTATCTATCTGTCTATCTATCTATCTACCAGTTTACCTATCTATCTATCTATCTATCTTTCATCTGTCTATCTGTCTACCTGTCTATCTGTGTTGCAGTGTCATTCAGTGTAATGTAGTGTGGTGTAGTGTAATTTAATGTAGTGGAGTGTACTGGAGTGTAGTGTAGTGTAATGTAGTGTACTGGAGGGTAGTGTAGTGTAATGTCCTGTAGTGTAGTGTAGTGAAGCGAAGCGATTCGCGCCACAACGGCATGCACTTTTTCGACATCCGAACCTCCAAAAGTGGTCCGAACCCCTGGTGTTTTTAACATTTTGACTTCGAAATGTGCTTCGCGCCACAACGGCGTGCACATTTTCGACATCTCAACTGCCAAAAGTGGTCCGCACCTGGTGTGTTTTGCACATTTTGACTTCGAAATGTGCTTCGCGCCACAACGGCGTGCACTTTTTCGACATCTCAACTTCCAAAAGTGGTCCGACCATGGTGTGCTTTATACATTTTGACTTCGACATGTGCTTCGCTCCACAACGGCGTGCACTTTTTCGACATCTCAACTTCCAAAAGTGGTCCGAGAATGGTGTATTTTGTACATTTTGACTTGGAAATGTGCTTCGCGCCACAACGGCCTGCAATTTTCATCTCTCATTTGGCCAGCTGGCTCCGCCCCCGCCACTTTAGCGAGCCTACTCTTCGACCCTCCGGAGCCCCAAATCATTGGAAAAACATGGTGTTTCGCGACTTTCCTACCTTTTCACCCATCTGCATCTTCTTTCTTCTTACTCTTTCTCTTCTACCCTTCTTTCTTCTAATCTTTCTCTTCTCTCTGCCTCTTCCCTGCTCTGCTTTTCATCTGTCCATATTGTCGGAAGTTTGACTTCTAAACTTCCTTCGAAAATAGTCCGATTGATCATCCCCAGCTTCGCCAGTGCTTCAGTCACATGGACGCAGCTCATTTTGGGTGCACAAACCCCCAATTTTCAGACAGACCCGAAACACATCACGTTGGTTAGTTCTATCCGCTGCGTATATCGTCATTTTCGATGACTAACCGTCCACTTTTATGGTTGGCACGTCTATTGACCACTTCCATTTTGTCAGGTATCCCATTCCATCCACTAACGGCCACAATTCTTGATGGTTCCTTCCACTTTGGACCACCCACGGTTGCCCAATATTTGGCTATGAACTATCACATTTGGGAGGGAATGAAAGTCCAATATCAGCGTTTTCAGGGTGAACAGAGCTAACAGTTGGACATTCCATGAGTTTTGAGCCTTAGCCATTTACCACTCCCATCCAAGTAAGTTGGTCATACCTCCATTTGGTTCCATATTGTGCCGCTATAAACCTCTTTTCGTTTGGGACTCCAATGATTTTCTCATTTAAAACCTACATTTATTTCATGTCGGTGATTTTCCAAGCTATAAACTTCCTTCATAGTAAGATATTTCCAGAGATTTTCCATTCCCATTGGAAATGTATGTGTGTATATATATATACAAACACATTTACATATATATATACATATATGTATATGTATATACATATATATATATATATCCCATTCATATGTTATATTAATTTCCATGAAAAATCCCCAATGACTCTCAGCTGGCGAGGCATGGCCATCAAGGTCTTAGTGGTTCATGTGGACGGTCAGCGCACCGCTGTGGACCCCGTGAAGACTGGAGACCCCACCGCAGGCGCCGACGTGTCTTTTCCACGGAAAGGTGACGATCTTTGAGAAAATGATGGAAATTTGGCACCCAAATTTGACATTTGAAAGACTTATTCTTGGTGATTTGTCGGTTTTCTGATATGGAAGCACTCTTGCATGTCATTGTCCATGCCCATTCTGCAGCAAAACGGAAGATCCTCAATGCCACGTAAGAATAGACCGTTGAATTATGTTGAATCTGGATATTCCATCTATTCCGGAATCATACGCTGAAATCTCCTGAAGGAGAAGCCCAGTAAGGAACTGGTGATTTCACAAGTCATCCAACTAGCCGCAGCTATGTGCCACGCAATGTTGGATTCATATGGCTTATCCCATTGGATTCCAAAAACAATCCATGGGTCACCCTTCCCCCATTGGGTTAGCAGCTGTTGGCTGGGATGAGGCGGCGAAGGAAAATTCGAGGCTGATGGGCTCATGAGTTCCGAGAGGCCAGGCCAGGGCGATTTTGTAAAGCAATCCAATAAAGAGAATAAAGAGCTATACAAAATAGCCTGGTTGATTGGATATAGGGAGTTTTACTAGGTTATTGATTGGTTATTGCGGATTACCACCCATAGTAAAGCAAACCTATCAACCAACTAGTATCATGAGCTGGGATAGGGGGTAGTTTTAACGGCTCAATTCTTTGTTAGACCCAAGCAACAAAAGAAATGTTTTGAATTGAGTCCAAGAAACATTGAAGTTTCTATGACAATGTGGATTTTTGATAGACTTCGATTGCAAATGCTGATGGAACCCATGATAGTGGGGAAGAATGGCTCATGGATGTTGTACTGCAGAAAACAGGAACTTCTCTGATTGGATAGCAGGGAGTCCTGCAGTCATCGTTACTTGCGGAACCCCGAAGCACCCAGCGATTTGCGACCAATGCTAGGAGGATCGGCGTACCCCCCATTTAAAACTGGCGGGCCGCAAGTTGCACACAGAAATGAAACCTTCAGTTCGGAAGACAATTCAATCACAATTCCTCTTGGCGATCTTCGCAATTTTGTTTGGCTGCGAACATTGCGAACATAGGTTTGGCAGCAAATATGGTACCCCGAAATTTCATGGCAAACCATCAATCCAGCCTGTTAGTTGGCCAGAATTGCCGGATCAACTTTCACTCTGACTGCCACGGATGCCAGGTAACTCGTCGCTGAGACTTAAAACCTTAAGTTGGATGTTGATGACGGCATAAAAACCCATGAGCTACCACATTTCGGGGGAACATTCATTCACCGGCAATTTTGAGGGGAACACAGGGGAATCTATGGGTTTTGAGCACAACCATTCCATGATGAGATAGGAATATATAGGATATGTGTGTATATTGCTCAAACTTGTCACGGACAAATGAAAAGCTTCATCTTTGATAAATCGATGGATTTCCCAAGTTCTGGGGGTTCTTATCTTGGCTATATCCATAAAAAAATGCCCCTAGTTGCACCCCAATAGTTATAAGTTGGAGGTTATAAACCCTATCAAGATCCATAAACATCCACTAACATCCATTATAGGCATTGAATGATATTGAATGATATTGATATATCCACCACAAACATCCATGTTTACCCGTTTACCCCTGGTTTTTTGTTGATCCCACTTCTCCCTTCAACTGGAGTCACTGGAGGCTCGAAGCTTTAAAGGCCCGCACCAAGCTGATGCAAGAAGCAGAGGCGTGCTGAACGATGAAGGATAGTTGCCACCAGAGGAAAAAAGGATAGTTTAACTATTGTTTAACTAAGAAAAAATCTGACCATATTTTTTTCTAATTTAAGAGCTGGCAGAATCATGATAAAATTGTGGATTTTCAATCAGCCATAAAATTGTTCTCCACCCTAGCATCTTTAGACATTTGGATGGGGAACTAGAATAGTACCTCGCTGAAAAGTTATAATTTCAAGGTTGGGACTCTGGGGCAATGCAGATGGCAGCAGACTTCAGGTGGATGCCTCTTCTGAAACCATTGTGGCAGCTTCTTTCTCACACTCGACCAATAGCAACAACAAAACTGAGTTTCCACCAAGTTGACCAACAAGTTGACCTTTTGGGGGAACCCTTTACGGAACGAACCACCAGAATTCCCTCCCCGCGGCCCATCATCGCTTTCGACTGCATTTTTGAGATGTTGTAAGATGTTAATGGATTAAAGAAAATATCTATAAAGTTTTATATGTTGCTGCTTCCATATGCTAATGGTTTCCATGCGTTTCCCTTCAATTGTTAAGGGTGTCCATTAAAGGCAAGATCCGTTTTCACCTAAGTTCAAAACGTACGTTGGGAACTTTGCATTCGACATTCCATGGGCCAAGGGCTATAGGCTAATACTCCCAAATGGTAAACAGTTTAACTAGGGATGGGTTGGCATTGGTATTGTAAAAGACGCACTGAGTTTATACCACATCAGCTGGTTTATTCCAGTTTATGGTCAATTTCTCACCCAGTCTACCAGCAAGTCACAATGATTGGTGAATCGAATCGCCACTGTGCCGTAGCAACGTGCCAATCTACTTGGATCTCACTTAGCCTGGTTAGGTCTGGTTAGTCCCCCTGGATTATCCCATTGATAAGTTCACCCCAACTCACCACAGTGACTGTCAGCTATGCCCCAGCGCGACAGGCCAAGTTATCAGTTGAGGAGATGCAAAGTCTCTTCGAGACAGCCTTCACATGATGGAGCCGACGTGGCACACGGATGTGGATTCCAAAAACGATGAGCGATGATATAAACATCGATGTTTGCCCAAAATTGCAGTTGTAACATCTTAAGTGTTTCAAATTGAAACGAGGATGAGCCATGATATTTGGGGTCCTATTTTCAGACAAACCCATGTCCAGAAATGTTGACAATCAATGAAAATCATACACACTCCACCGGGAGTAGTTACTTGCAGGCCGTATTTGACAGCATAGCAAGTACGTCACTGTGTTGGATGTCGCACCCCGAACACCCGAAAAAACGGAGGACTTTCCGACGATGGAATTGGGCGAGTCATGGTTTTTCTTTCCTGTCAGAATTGGAGATGTCAAGTAATGAAACTATGAAGGTTCTTATTGAAAAACCCTTGATTTAGCTATGGCAAAGAACGATTTGGGTCCCTGTGGAAAGCCCACAAGGTGCAATATTTCCGTGGATAAAGGGGTCGACATCTTTCCACCATTGATTCTCTTACTGCGAGAGACTGTATCACCCATTGTTTTGCGGTGGAATCAGAGTCAGCTTGCGCACGAGGTGGGGGGAGACGGAAAATCCACAAATTGGATGAAATCGGTATGCAGATGTACCGGGAATTTGGTTCTTCAGTCTATATGGATGACTAACATGATATGGTTTTGGTCGTCCATACTGGTGGATACTGGTGACAGCCGCGCAAAGCATGGTTAGTCAAAACAGACGAATTCCGGGTCGACCACGCACAGTATATGTTTTTCTTGTTGATTGGTGGCGATGGTCCAGGTTGGAATGTCATTCAATGCTTGCTGGTTGGTGTTTTCAAATGTGTTTTATGTACTCATGGTATGCTGGATCCACAATTTATAGATCAGTCTACCAGTGAAACCTCCAGTTCGATTTACTTTGGGATTTCCCAGCCATGTTTGATGGTTTCTGAGGCTTGCTTGTGGCGCAGGCATGGCCCAGATTCTGCAGTGACCTGTGAGTCGTTTTGTGGGCCGGGATGGCTTTACTTCAAACATTTCTCTGGGGTTATCCCATGGATTGTGAGATATTGTGAGATTCTCCTGGTTTATCCTATGATATTCATCTTGTTCACATCCATGGGATATAAGCCATGTACTGTAGCCAGGGTTTGCCCTGCGCCCTGAAGACTCTAGGCATCAGACTGCTCGGCGTTTTATATCAATGTGTGTATGCCTAGAAGCGAAAATTGAGCCACCTGACGAATGGCGGTAAGCATCCCAGAGAAGGAATGCGTCAGGAACCGATTTGCCACACAAATTTGGGTGTTCCAACATGACCTTCGAGATGTAACCCCCCTGTCACGCAAAGCAAACAGAACCCACCATAGGTATCTTCAGCAAGAGGGGTTTAGCAGCCCGCTTTCACAGTACGGTTGATTGCGGTCTGCATCCAATAAATCTACGGGATTTGTGCAGATCAAAAATCAATTTCAGATTTTCATCATCTCCACTGTCTCCACTTCCATAGATTTTCTTTCTGATTTTGTCTCAGCATTGGGAGAATCTCGAGGAAAGCCCATCGCCCAAACGTGTTCACTGGAAACACCAATGGAAACACCATGGATTGATGCTTCACCAATCCATTGAGAGACCCCTCCCGCTTCAGGTTCTATGGCCTGTCCCGAGTTTCGTCAGGCTGCACCTGTTGCTCTTTTCAAAGAAACCAGTGGATGTTTTAGATATGGATTGTGGATGCAGTGATTTAAGCAAGAGGCTAGAACAGCCGGGGACACCGTGAACAATGTATCAGCAGTCATGATAGCTTCAGGTCAGCGGGATCAACCAATGATCCAGGGGTATTTCAACGAGCCGGAGGATTAGCTGGTGGATTTTTCACAAAATGTTGACGCTTTAAAAGGAAACCTATCAATTCCATGGGCCCTCACAAACCTGGAGGTCGATGCTAGGCGCATCCCAGTTTTGCACCTGATTTGCGTACCTAGTCTTACCATGTCTTATTGTACATACCCAGGCAAAGCATATCAGACCCTGGTGGCATCTTCCTGTCGTTTGTCTCATCAATTGATGTCCCAGATTCCACTTGTTTCCTTGGATTCTGAAATTTGTGTCAAGATTGGACACACATGGATTCAAATCATATGCAGAGGGGTTGGCCGCCTGGACGTTCCTACAAGTTGGATTCTTGAGTGCCTACCTTAATGAACTTTGACCTGGACCTGCAACCCAGAACAGCAGAAATATGGGGATTTGACTCGTCCCTTCCCACATCCCACATCTCCCCGCTTGATAATATTTCAGGAGACGCTCCCCAGAAACCTTGGTAATGTGGTGAAGGGGTGTTCGTTTTTGGAGTCCACAGTAAGATTATCATGATTGATAGATATTGGTGGTCTTTTCATGTGACCCTAAATCTCATAATATATGTTTGAGAGTCTGATAGATTTCATGCATTAGATTGGGCCGGAGTCTCATAGATGGACAGCATTCTTAGGGTGGCATCATGGTGCATCCCTGTGCATCAGTACCGTCACTAAAATCATGTTCCTAAACGTATTCCAAATCCCATTCCAATATTCTTCCCATTTATTTTTTTGATGTGGATGTGCCACTGCAGACTCGATGCGCACCGGAGCGGGCGCCGCGGGCGCCGCGGGCGCAGTGCCTGGGGTCTCGGCGGTAATTCCGGTGATTCGGTAAATGGGAACATGGAACTTCATGGAACAGTCCCAATGATTGCGTAAACTGTAAACCGATTAAACATGTTCAACATGTTCAACATGTATGCACAACATGTACATGTTTGCAACATGTTTGCCAATTGTTCATGTTTAAAGCTTCAATAGTTCATGTGTTCACATTGACCATATGTGCACTGAGTGCTCATGATGGGAGTCATAGGAATTACACTTTGCCCCTTCGCAGTTTTCTTTGTGCTTAGCCTTCCAATGTTTTGTGGAAATACTATATATATATATGTGTGTATGAATATATACATTTAATATATACACATATAGATAATTATATTTAATTATATATATTTGACCCTATTGAAGTAGTACCGGAAACGGAGGAAAGAATGCCCTATCTCCATACCAAACCCCAGGCGCAGCGGAGCGGGATGGCCGGGCTGGCGGACGGCTCCCCAATCTTCAGCGAGGAGCGCAGTGGGTCGATGGGATCGATGCTTTTTCGAAAAAATGACTGGTTTGTAAAAATGACTTAATCCCATGGTAAATATCGAAAATATATTATTATCATAGAAAAACACATTCCATAATATGTCTATGTATATATATATAGTATATATATATAATACCAAAAATAAGGAACGAAAGGGATGTATCCAACGGTACAGTTAAAGAGAGAAACGAAAGGGATGTGTCTTTTCGAATGCGAACGTCTGAAGCCCTTTTCAGGAGGTTCTCGCGCGATCATCATTTCGAGTGAAGTGGGGAAGACACTGATGGAATCTCCGCGCATGGTTTGCTTGTCCAATGGAAACCACCAAGCAGTGGCAAACAAAAATCCTGACAATCGTGGCATCGAGGGCTAGAGTCTGGGAGAATTTGATGACATCAGTTTGAATTCAATCACATTAGATTAGATGTATATATATATATGTATACATCATGATAAATTCTCGATGGAAATTCTCCCCAGGTCAGGATGATTCCAAAATGGAAACAGGTCCGCTGGAATAAACCTTCCCAACATGGCCATCTCGTCATCTTGGTCGTTTGGTGCATCGTTTTAACTGACTTTGAAGGGGATGATATTCTCAATTTATTCTCATTATGATCATTATCATTATTATTATTGGATCCTTTTTTCATGGTTTCATGGTTTCATGGTTTAGGCTTGATAGTTCCACTTGGTTTTTCGTCACTGAATGTCCATTTTGTTTGATCTGTTTCTTCATTAATTCAAGTCCACTGTGATTACTTTCTTTGAGGAAATATTCCTATTTTTCATGGATGCAAGCAATCCAGCCCGGAAAACACAAATACCGTTTTTGGAAAGCCTCAATTTGAAAATGATCCTGATTATTGTTTAGTTCACCATGTCAGATAGCTTTGGAAAATTGACACCCCTACCATCGCACCCCCGTATGATTGTCTCCATGAAAATGGCCTCAAAATTGCTCAATGGCCTGGTATCGAATAAAACATCCGTGACACATGGTTAAGTAACTCAGAATCGGATACAGAAAACCTGATGGTTGATGGTTTTTATCATCAGTTTTGCAAAAATGTGACCACGTGGACATTAAAAATGCCCTATTTTCAGATACCCCAACTGCTTGTTTGCTGTTTATATTTCCATATATCTCCCCTAAAACATCACCATTATGCTTATACCGTATACCCATTATGTTTGGATTCATATGATGGGATGGATTACCAGAAATCATTAATCCCATGTTTGGACCCCACATATATCCCTTGTATATCCACATTCACCATCATTCACCATCATTCACCAAAAAACATATCAAGTTGGTAAGGAAATCCCACTTATATCATCCTATATCCCCATGAAACCATCATGTATTGGGGAGTGGACTACCTGAAGTAGTCAGGATTAATCTGGATGAATTCTAATGAACTTACGTCGTGTAACTGGAATGATGTTTAGTGAGGGGATCCCCAAATGGCCATAACAATATCTTTAGCCCAGTGAATTGTAATTCAGCTGAATCCGAGATACACATGATATGATCAATGATTGTTGATATGATTGTTGGCATGATTAAGTTATTAATTGTTGACATTGACCCATGATGTCTCAACCGTGAGATCTTAAAAAAACTCTACGAGCCAGGAGGCTTGGTCCGATGACATGCCCAGTGAGTTGAAGGTGCAGGACGCCAAAACGGCCTGGTTGACATAGGGAGTTTTCTACTTAATTTATTGAGATTTATTGGGGATGAGAATCTCCGAGAAACCTATCAACCAGTATTTCATGGGATAGGGGGAACCCGCAGCAGTACATAGCTGCCTGCAAGGATGCAGAATAAAAAATACCTGTTCTTGAAACATGTTCTTTTAGGGAGCTAGCCTTCAAGTCGTTTTCGTGCACTGTATCTTTTCTCGAACATCTCTGTTTTGGTCGGCCTCAGGTTGCTACACGTCATAATCTTACATCGAAACGGGACAAGCTAAGCATCAAAGCCACAACAAGGAAAAGACACCATAAATTGTATTTTAGTCCAAGGGTCTGCTTACTGGGTTCCTCAAAATTCATCTCCAAAAATCTCCGGGCTGCTGGATCTCGTTCAGAGTTGGCCCTGGGCATGAAAACCCATGCATATCTATTTTTTCGACACCACTACTAACAAAACCGTCAAAACCTCTCAAAGCAGTGTGGCAGGCGCAAGCAACATCAGTAAATTAGCCAACCTTGGCCTCTTCTTGGCACTGTGGTTAGCCTTTGGAGCCTATGGACTCTCTGGATACTCTGAATCGACTGGAAGAAGGTCATTTTTATTGGCTCTGGATCTCCCTAGGCGGTTTGCAGCATTGGGCAAAGGGATGCTATAAGCATGGTGGCCCCACGGCTAGCTTTGTGAAGAGGATGAACAGCCATGGTAGCAATGGACAGCTGGGATCAGCAGATGAAGTACTCCCTTCCTAGGAATATAATACCGATTTATCATGATTTAGTGAGAATATAGTAACTAGTGGAATCATGGTTTATCAAATTTCAATGTGTCATCAACAAATTGGGATCTAGCAGAAATTAATGGGATTTAATGGGAATATCATAGGATAATAATGGGATTACAATCATAATAATATGCTTTGTTTCATTGATTTCGTGGAATTTAATGGGATAAATATTAGGAATCGAGGATCAACAAAACTCTCAAATGGATCCATGGGATCCATGGAACTGAAAACCCCACGAGAATCATGTGATCACTTCAAAGCTGACACAGAGTCCTCAGAGGTCAGGTCTTCAAGAAAGATTAATCTGGATTGATCCCAGCTAGCCAAAATTGGATCAGTCCCGTCTTAAGATTAGTGTCCAAAACGTGTTTTCTAGTGTATGTTTGTGTCTTTCCCGCTGCGTGAGCAAATGCTGGAAGCAAGACGTAGTAAATGTGAAGCAGTCCTCATGCAAACAGGTGTGTTGTGAACAACCAAAGGTCAATGAAACTCCTAATATTGCAGGATAACATCGATTTAATTTGATTTTTGTGTTGCCTTGTTGCATTTTTTGTGATTCTTTATTTTGATGGTCTCAAGTTTCTCCTTCAGCATTTCTCATCTGACTGGGTCTCCTTCAAATCGTCCCTTCAACCAACATTTGTTGATCATTTTTGCCTCAATTCTTAGATTTATCCAACTGTGCAATACATAGATATGTCTACCATAAACATCCATAAACTATTCTTTACTTAATTAATCCATGAATATGTGTTGATATCATAAACCACGCATCATTCACCATACTGTTAACCACAAAAAACACCGAGATTTCTCAACAAACAAAGGTCTATCTGACGCCAGGACCTCGAGGAAGGGCAAGAGCTCAGTGGCATCGTGGTCCGAGTGGTGGAGGAGTCGGGAAGCCCATGGTTTTCGGACCAAAGTGGGACCTTGTTTTCAGAGAACCTTCAATTTCTTTAGGGAAAATCATGGAACATGTTGTTAATTGGGACGTCCAGGGTTTCGCAGATTTACCATGGCCATTTTGGGCTTACAACGGAGAATAGAAAAGTCTGCATGAATCAGATGCATAATGATGTATACATGTGTTTTCGAAAAAACCGACACTGGTAAACAATCCTGGCAATTACATTCATGATAGTGTCTCATATGTTTTACGCAAAATTTATCTATAGGTAGAGGATGTTGCATTGCCAGTTGTTCGTTTTTTTTCAGAGATTATTTCAACCCAAAACCTACATGGAGATAGGATCAACATCAGACAATGAAGGTGAGGATTGTAGAATCCTCCAATCCTCATCCATGCAGGGACACCCGAAAATTCATGAAAATGTGCCATGTTGACATGAAAGATTCCTTTCAGTTCAGCCAAATTTGGACAATAGACCAATATAGACCATAAACCAAGCAAAGAGTAATGGTGTATACCAGTAGTACCAAACAAGGCGGTGGCGGAAGTTTCAAAGATAGGAAACTAAAGGAAAGGTGCATTTTTGTGATGCATGGATGGCGGAGCGAATCCACTGAAAGACAATGTTCAACCCCCAGTTCATATTAATATCATGTGGCAATCCACTGATGGACCGAAAGGTAGTTGGAGCGCTGTTTTCGCGCTGGTTGCTGTGCTCACGTCACCCACAACTGCTGGATGTAGTGTGGTGTAGCGTAGTTGTAGTTGTAGCTCTACTTGTAGTGTAGTGTAATTAGTGTAGCATAGTGTAGTTGCAGTTGTAGTTGTAGTTGTAGTTGTAGCGTACTGTAATTAGCATAGTGTAGTGTTATGTAGTGTAGTGTAGTGAGTGTAGTGTAGTGTAGTGCAGTGCAGTGCAGTGCAGTGTGGTGTAGCATACTGTGTGTACTGGAGTGTCGTGCAGTGTTTTTTTAGTGTAGTTGTAGTGTACTGTAGTGTACTGTGTTGTACTGTAGTGTAATTAGTGTAGTGTAGCGTAGTGTAGCGTAGTGTAGTGTTTAGTGTACCGTACTGTAGTGTGCTCTACTGTATTGTACTGTACTTACTGTATTGTGTCGTAGTGTAGTTAGTGTAGTTGGTTTGACTATTGTAGTCAGTGTAACGAATGCAATTAGTGTAATTAGTGTATTGTAGTTTAGTGTAATTAGTGTAGTGCAGTGCAGTGTAGTGTACGTTGTAGTTGCAGTTCTAGTTGTAGCTGTAGTTGTAGTGCGGTGTACTGTAGTCTAGTCTACTGTACTGTACTGTAGTGTGGCGTAGTGTTGTTGTTGTTGTTCTTGTTGTTGTTGTTGTTGCTGTTGTTGTTGTTGTGGTTGTGGTTGTGGTTGCTGTTGGTGTGTAAGTAGTGTAGCGCGGTGTAAACAGCAATTAGAGTTGTGTACTATAGTTGTAGCTGTAGTGGTCGTTTAGTGTAGTTGTACTTGTTCTTGTTGTTGTTGTTGTTGCTGTTGCTGTTGTTGTTGTTGGTTGTGGTTGTTGTGGTTGTTGTGGTTGTTGTTGTTGTTGGTGGTGGTGGTGGTGGTGTTGGAGTTGCTGCTGTTGCTGTTGCTGTTGCTGTTGTCGTGCCGTGAAAGTCCAAAAGTGTTCGAACATGTGGTGCTTTTCACATGTTTACTTCTAATTGTACTTCGCGCCACAACTTCGTACACTTTTTCCACACCTCAACTGCCAAAAGTGGTCCGAGATCGTCAGTTCTTTAAGCATTTTGACATCGGAACGGCTTCGCACCACAACAGCGTGCACTTTTTCAACGTCTCAACTTCCTGGGGTGTTTTGCACATTTTGAGTTCGAAATGTGCTTCGCGCCACAGCCGCGTGCACTTTTTCAACATCTGAATTGCCAAAAGCGCTCCAACACTGACGTGTTTTCGACATTTTGACTTACAAATCATCCTGCTTCGCGCCACAACAGCGTGCAATTTTTCATGTCTCATCTCCAAAGATGGCTCCGCGCCGGCCGCTTTAGCGAGCCTACTTTTCGACCAACCTGTGCCACAAAACATGGGAAAAACACAGTGTTCAGCGACTTTTCTACCTTTTCGCGCACCTGCATTTTCTTTCTTCTGGCTCTTCCTCTTCTGAGATCTTCTTTCTTCTTTCTCTTCTCTGACTCTCCCCACCTCTGTTGCTTCATGTGTCCATACTGTCAGAAGTTTGACCTCTAAATTTCCTTGGATTAATGCATATTATGCTTTAGATGGTGAAACCACCAATCAAAAAAACTAGGGCACGCACTGATAAAAAAAACATTCTAAAGACTAGCCATGTGATTTTGTTGCAATATTGATGAGAATTTGTGCATGAAACATGGTGCTCAGTTGCATATCCACGACTGTAGATGATGAGAGGGCTAGCAGCATGGGCAAGAGTGCAAGACGACGCTGGCAGTGACGAAAGTTTCCAGAGAGAAGCGTTTGAAGCATGGGAGAGCGCTCTGGATGACCAGGGGGCCAATCCTGGACATAAGTACCTGGAAGGCTTGGATTGCAGTTCTGAACTCTTATCCTGTGAAATGCCACATAGTCTGCGACATCAACTACTACAGGCTAAATTGCTCCGGGTTTGGGTCGTTTACCACATGCTCATTTTGCAAGGGCGAATATATCACCGTAAAGACCAGCATTAAACATGAGCAAACACATTAAGCCCCTAAACTTGATTGTGGAAGAGTATTTTGGGACAGCAGCACGCGTTTAATGTGTTCCAGGGTGGATTTCAGGGCCCTTCGAAAGGCGGGACTGTGTCTGAAGAATCCATAGGCATGATTTGGTGCAGCAGAAAAACCTGCTGCTTTCTATGTTCAATTGGTTGTTGATTGGTTGTTGATATTTCATATGTTGTTTCAACATTATTTCCCCACAAAGAAGAAAAGGTTCGGTTTTCTTCTACGTACTTGAAAGTAGTCAGTGAAGACCAGCCATTTGTGGGTCTACTGGCATCGCTAACCCATTGACGCAATTGCCAAAAGGATTAGGAGCTGTGCCTTATAAGGCCGTATTTTGAGGAGAGTTTCCCACAAATTCACGCCTTGCATGGAGTTTGCATATGCTAGGTATGCTCCCCAGATCATATGAAATGCCCAGTAGGCCCTTATTGGGCACGGGTTTTTCAGGTTGGGCTGCTTCGTGGATGTCGGCGCGGACAAACAGGGGCCTAGATGGCCCAGATGGGAAAAAGAGGATGGCCTGGTGGAATAATCTGGTGGATCTGGAGATAGGTCAAATGATGGTAAACCTAATAACAGCGGGATATAGTATGGATATTTGTGGTGGGATAATATGAGTTAATAAAAGATAATAGTATCTGATAATAACATGATTAACTCCAGAATCATGGGATATGGTTCAATAATGGAGAATAACCAACAGATAATCAAATGTTTAGTCAGCTAACATAATGAATACATGGATATGCATAGGAGAATGTAGATTGACTGATATAGGATAATAGTGGGATAATAATGGGTCATTATAGGATAACTAAAATAAACTGCCACCGTTTTTTGTTTTTCATTCGGTAGACACCTATGGCTGGGAGGTTTTTTGGTAACTAGTCATATGGTTGCTTACTGGGATGGTTTTACAACATTGAGGATGTTGAATGCTAGAGACAACGCGCGGATGTTAATTTATTGTGGATGGGGATAGTTGATAGCAGTTCATGAATGTTAATGATACACTTATTGATGGTTTAAAATGCTTGATCATATTTGATGGTTGTCATGATTCATGATACTTAGGAAATGATAGTCACAGTGTTCCTCAATGGTTCACCGACTTCTTGCAGGTGGACATCTTCCATGGGATTTCATGGCTGATTCCATGGCGAATGAAAGGGGAATTTCACCAACAAGAAAAGGTACAATGGGGATATCATGGGATACAATGGGGATATGTTTGGATAAATTTCATCACGCACATGGCGTCGTCACTGGCATGATGGGACTTGGATTGTGGGAATCATCCCCAAATAGTCGAACTGTTCAGGCTTTGAATATTATATATTGCTTTTCATTGTTCCCCAGGTAGCGAAGTGCTTCAAGTATAGGAGGAGTTGCATGTCTGCGTTTTGGACGGTGCCGCTGCAGGGTGCCGCTGCAGGGTGCTGTTTGGGGGTGCTGCTGTCATTTGCGCTTTGGAGTGGGCATGTTTGTGCCGCTGGGCACGCCACTCTAACAGCAGCACCTTCAAACAGCCCCCTACAGCAGCACCGCCAGCAGGCCAAAGCGCACTCTAACAGCAGCACCCTGAAGCAGCACCCTGCAGCCAGCCCGCTCTAACAGCAGCACCTTGAAGCACCCGGCAACAGCGCCAGCAAGCCAGCTCCAAAGCGCACACACCACTCTGCAGCGGCACCCTGCAGCAGCAGCAGCACCAACATGCCAGCTCCAAAACCGCTATCTGTGGAACAATTCTCATTGTTTCACGAAAGATCGATGGAAAAAACCTGCCCAGCAACATGTGGAATCCCCTCCAGTGGCTCCAGCAGCTCAGTGCTGAGGTTGGTCCATGCAACCCAAGTGGCCAGAGGATACACACCAATCCTGTCTGAGGCGCGCAGCTTAGAGATATGAAACATTGATTTTGGGTGCTATATTTAATGGAAATCTCTGCACCTGATGATTTTGGATACTGCTTTCAATGTGTAGCCAACATCTTTCTACTGCTACGAGCGTATCTAAATCTAAATCTATTTCTATCTGGTTCGATTTTTTCCCATCCGATCAAGTGAAATATCCCGAAAAAAATGCCTCCTAATTCAGTCTAATTCATAGGCCCAATTTGAATCCCAATATACGCCCAATCCATTCCACCACGGTTTCCAGTGTATCTGAACAGCACAGGTAGTGCAGCCTGGACAGATGGTGCAGGCTCGCCAGCATGCTGTGCTGTTGTGTTCCTTGAGGTTCTTTCGAAGATTGAAAACATTGTGTTTACCATGGCACATATTAGGGTTGCGATTTAATTTCGGATTTTTTCCTGTTTTGGATTTTTTTCTTGGATTTCTGTTTCCCTGCTTCTTTGCTTATGTGCTTTTCTGCTCCCTGCTTCCTTGCTTGTCTGCTTCTCCAAGACCCCTGCTTTTCTGCTTCTCTGCTTGTCTCTGCTTCTTTGCTTTTCTGCTTTCCCTGCTTTTTTGCTTCTCTGCTTTTCTGCTTCTTTGCTGTTCTGCTTCTCCGCTTTTCTGCTTCTGTGCTTTCCTTGCTTTTTTGTTTCTTAAGCGTAAGCAATCCCTAAAATACGTTATTTGAATAAACCCTAAACCAATCTGAAATAAACACCAAAATAACCCGGCAAGAGACTCCAAACAGTGTGGGGGGTAGGAAGGTAATGCTTTAAATGCAAGCAAGAAGAGCTACGGAACAGAAGCGGATCAGGCTATACACTTTCATACTGCCGCAGGAAGATCTTGTTTTGGCACATGGAGCAACTCAAAATGCGTAGGTTCTCAGGTTCTCATACCGGAACGTCATACCAGGACATCGAAGAGAAATCCACAAGATCGTCAGAGGAGGACCTTCTATATAAAGGATCTTACAAGATCTTCATACAAGAACTTCCTATGAGCATCCCAGAAGAGCTTTCATACAAGCATCCCTGATGCAGAGCAGCTTCAAGATCTTAATGCAAGGACCTCTTAGAGAGGATTTGAGCAGGATCTCCACAAGATCTTCTTACAAGGACCTGTACAAGATCGTTGGAGAGGATTTCGCCCGGACCTCGTCAAGATATTCTTAGAAGGGCTTGTACACGATCATGCAAGGACCTGCTAGAGAGTATTTCACCATTGTCTCCGCGAGCCTGCGCAGTCGAAACGCACATGGACCACACTATATCACCATATGTATATTTTTATATGTCCGGTTTACTATCATTAATTTTAATCTAATGTAGTGCTATGTCTTTTTTTATAAACCTATCAATATTTTCATCACGGCTGTTTTATTGTAATTTTTCACGATTTATCCAGCCGTCATTAAAGATGGAATCCTCGGAACCTCAGGTGTGGGTCAAGACCGTTTCACCAGAAGGTCCGCAGCGGGGTGCCGACAGTTGTGGAGTTGCTAGATTTCCGCTGGAGATGTTGGACAGCTGGACATTAATCCTAACAATGCTGTGCATGCATAGTTTATGAAACCATGTCTTTTTCACATACCAGTAGTACCGCACAAGGCGGTGGCGGACGTTTCAAGGATAGGAGCTTTAGGAGAGGTGAGTTGCTGTGATGCATGGATGGCAGAGCGAGTTACCAGTGGACCGAAAGGTAGTTGGAGTTGTGTTTTCTGGAGTGGTTGCAATGGTTGTAGTGGTCACCTCACCCACAACTCCTGGATGTAGTGTGGTGTAGTGCAGTAGTTGCAGCTGTAGTTGTAGTGGGGTTGATGTTGTTGAAGTTGTAATGTTGTAGTTGAAGTTGAAGTGTAGTTGAAGTTGTAATTTCCCTACTTGTAGTAGTTGTAGTAGTTGCAATAGTTGTAGTAGTTGTAGTTGTAACTGTAGCTGTAATGTAGTTGTAGTGTAGTTGCAGTTGCACTTGTAGTTCTAGTGTAGTGCAGTGGTAATTGTTGTTGCAGTAGTGTAGTTGAAGCTGCAGCTGTAGCTGAAGTTGTAGTTGTAGTTGCAGCTGTAGTTGCAGTTGCAGTTGTAGTGTAGTTGTAGTAGTTGTTGCAGTTGTAGTTGTAGCTGCAGTTGTAATTGTAGTGGCACTTGTACTTGTAGTTGTGGTAATTGTAGTTGTAGTTGAAGTGTAGTTGAAGTTGTTAGTTGTGGTTGTAGCTGCAGTTCTTTTAGTGGTAGTGTAGTTGTGGTTGTAGTTGTAGTGTGGTGTAGTGCAGTTGCAGTTGTCTATCTATCTGTCTATCTATATATATGTTTATCTATTTGTCTTTCTGTTTATCTAGCTATCTATCTATCTATCTATCTATCTATCTACCGATCTATCTATCTGTCTATCTGCACGTTTGAAAACGAAGCTATTCTGCGAGACTTCCTCAACTTTGAGCTTGATAAAGTTAAAAAGGAAGCAATTCTGCGAGACTTTCTCAGGGTTTGAAGACGAAGCAATTCTGCGAGACCTTCTCAATTTTTGAAGCTGGCAGCAAAACGAAGCAATTCTGCGAGATTTCCAAAGCGTTTTGCGTTTTTTCCACTCCACCTGTCTAAAGTACTGCGCCTGCCACTGAAAAATTGATGCCAGGTCATACGAAGTGCGGCACCTGTCACGCAAAGTCATCTCATCAAACCTTTTGATACTCCAAAATGCAACCCCTCTCAGGAAATCACCGCCCTGACCTCCTAACATCTCTGATGAACATGTCTCTTGTACCGCGCCTGCCACGCGAAATGCATCTTTGCACATCCTCTGCAAATGTCCCACGCCTGCCACCGTTTTTGGAGATGCTACAAAACCCTTACGTTTTGCTCCACCTTTGGCAAGGTGCAGAATCCCATGCGCCTGCCAGGCAAAACCACATCTGAACCTTCAAAAAGTGGTCCGAGCATGTTTTTTTTATATCTTGACATGGAAATGTGCTTCGCGCCACAACGGCGTGCACTCTTTCGACATCACAACTTCTAAAAAGTGCTCCGAAGCTGAGGTGTTTTGTACATTTTGACTTCCAAATGTGCTTCGCGCCACCATGGCGTGCACCTTTTCATCTCTCATCTGGCCAGATGGCTCCGCACCCACCGCTTTAGCGAGCCTTCTTTTCGACTTTCCGGAGCCACAAATCATGGGGAAAACACAGTGTTGCGCGCCCTTCCTTCCTTTTCGCGCACCTGCACCTTCTTTCTTCTGATTCTTTCTCTTCTTTGATCTTCTCTTCTGCTCTTCTCTTTTCTGACTCTTCCCACCTCTGCTTTTCCATTTGTCCATATTGTCGGAAGTTTGACTTCTACACTATTTATTTGCATTTATTCAGAGGCAAGGATAACATTTGTATGGATAAAAAATATTTTTTTAAACTATTTGTTTGTTATTTATTTATTTATGTCGATGATTCAGGGTCAGCTTAGTCAACGCGTCATGCGTTGTGTTCACTGATGATGTATCCTTTGTTTCGTTTGTGCCATTTTTTTCCAGTCAGTCGAGTGCATCATGACAAAAATGGGTGTCAGAGTCCCAGGGTTTTCGGGTTTTCCAATCTGGGGAAGAAGCTGCAATAGAGTCTTGGGTTGAGTCGTGGGAAATTTTCAGTACTTCCTTGGATCATGCTAGTAAGATCTTGTATCCCTCCTCTTCCAGTTGGACAAGCACAGCAAGTTGTTTAGATATCACCCTGGTTACTGTACCTATCAAAGATTATATTTCCAAGGTTCGGACCATCCTGCCCAGAACGAGATGTTGTGGTGGTCATGTCTATCCCAAACATGGCAAGTGACGACTACATGTGGGATGTGTATCCCAATGCCCATTCACAGTACCCATCGACATGGTGACCAGAACCTGTTTATTACTGTACGTATATATATATATACATACGCATAAAACATATTTGGGGACATGAAGATCCATTGACCCATTTAGCAGTTATTTCGGGTTTCTTGAGGATGGCATGCATGTATTAAGATCCAGGGACTGCAGATGTTCGTTTTCTAAGTAGTAAAATAACAATTCTTGCGTAGCCAATTTTGACCAATGTCCATGGATACAGACAGATGGATCTATCCATATGTATGTTATGTTATGTTGTCTTATGTTATGTTGTGTTTTGTTATGTATGTATTTATTTATACACATACATCATACATATTAGATACATATATAGTATACATTTATACACATATATGTTCATATATATATACACATGCAATAATAAGTATCTCAAAGGTTGGGTATGGTGATCAAGTCCAGGGATGTCGAACGAAATGACGCACAGGTCGGCTGGATCTCACTATGGTCGTCACCGGCATGGTTTTGGGGAAATGATCTAAGCTTGAGATTGGATTAGCCATCCATCGCATCACTGCGGATTCCAAAAATCTCAATGTAAGCGTACCAATGGGAGTCGACCAGCCAAAGGTGATTAAACTACCCAACAATCAGAAATGATTGTCCCAACCCAAGTTACATACACCCTGAGAGATACCAATTTTCAAGTTGGAAAGTTGTCTTCCAACCCCTTATTATTTTTGCTCTGTCTACGTATCTTAGTCGGGAGAGAACACGGAAACATACACTTGAACACATGGGAATTTAAGCAGCAACATGTTTGGTAAATGTGGTAAATGTGGTAAACCCAAAACCATAAACCTCCAATCCATGAGGGTTTGCACCATTCACTTCTGCGAAGAAACGGATTATTGTTGTCACCTCAAGTCAGTGGTGTATATCCAATTATGATCTATTAATACTTCCAATTAGTATCTGGTGTCCTCAAGTTACCTTCCAATTATGTGCTTCCACTTGGAACCAGATTGGGATCATCGCACATGAATCTGAAACCGACAAGGAACAGGAAATCAACGGTGGGTTTGTCTCACAATGGGTATTCCATTCGACAAGTTTAAAATTTTAAAAGGAAGATTTAAACCATTGGAATCCACATTGGATTCCAAGGTTACTGGACACTTTTTTGATGGTCTTCAGTGCTTGTGGAATTAGGAACATGCCTCTTGAATCTGCCCGGTGTTGTTTGGCCGAATATTTGGTCCAGCTACAATAAACCATTGGCCCATTGAAGCCCTGGAAAATGCTGAGAAACCACACCAAACCATAGGGTTTTAGAGATTTTAAGGTATGGTTCATTGCTTTGACCCCCAATTTTGATAAGTTAAACTGTTGAAACAGATGAAATCCTGATCAAATGGATCGTTTCTCTAGTTTTGGTCATCGAATCTCGAGGCAGATCTCGTGGCAGGTGGACGAGTCGCAGGATGAAAACATGGCGCCCTTCAAAGAGGAGCCTCTTGGGGGAGAGGTCGGAGCTTGGGAGCACACATGCTATGATCTGTATGAATATAATATAACTTATATATACATATGTATATATATTTTATATACTTGATAGAAAGTGTCATCCCGAGTTGACGTTGGGAGAACATGTTGATTGTTGCAGTCCATGACCACCATGGGAATCAGCAGGTTTACGTGATCTCGTGATCATCAATCTGATCATGTCAAGGGAACATAATCATCCAAGTTGCGTCTTTAAATCACCCACTTGCATGGTTGGATATTCTCTAGGATTGGTTTCAATTTGTTTCCACTCAAGGACTAAAATTGGTAATTTCTGCCACTGTGATTCGAAGATGTATATGTGCATATAGACATCGATACATACGTGTTTTTCCTGTTGGACATGTTTCCTCTTTGTTGGTTGAAGGGAAGATTTGAATGAAAACTCTTCAATTTGGTGATATCAAATAAGCAAAAATATGCTTTTAGACTTTTAGATGCTTTTAGCATTTTCACATTTTGCCATTTTGAGTTGTTCAATCCCGCTTTTTCCGGTGGCGTCCGTGGCGTCCGCAACACCCCTTTCTCAGGTCGACAAGGATCTTTGGCTTGATGCGCAGATCTCGGTCTTTTGGCTCGCTGGGGAGAATAACTGGGCGTTTTGAAAATCAATCCTTCAATGCCCGTTGAGATGAATATCCTCGGCGTTGAACACGAAATTCGAATTCTGAACCCAAGTCACCACTATGTTGGACTACTAACATAGACCAACATTCTGACGGATGTTTTTTGTGGTGCCTCAAAACCAAGTTATATAATATGTACATATATATATATATACACATACAGTATCCAAACATTAGTAGATGAATTAGATTATACTGGATTCCATGAAAATCTATTCTCTTCATTTTGAGGATGGTCACTAGGGTCACACCTTGGGCACTGGGGTTTGCCCCTTAGAATGAACCGACGACCCAACCATGCTGTTTGGTGACATTTCGCGTGGGTCTGGAAATCGGAGATGTTTGTGACAAACAACGATGGTCACTGATCAGCGAGTGTAAGTAACACTACGGTTACAGGGATTTTCAGTCGCTTGAAACCCAGGCGAATTGCAGGTGTAAACAACGGTGAAGAAAATGACGTAAATTGACTAGGGTCAACAAATATCAACAAATAGTATCGCAAGAGGCTCGCAAAATACTGTCCCAACTTGTTACAACCAGTGAAAGTTCATAGCTCCAAATACGGCAAACTCGGCCCGCCCTAACTAACATTTGATGCCGAGATGGTTGGATATTCTTAGCAACATTCCCAGGCTGATAGTGAGTATATGGGCACATCCTGAACTTGAGTATCTCCAAAAAAGAGCTGGTTGTCATACTGAAACAGGTCGCACAAAAAAAAGTTCTGCAGGAAACCAAACATGGCGATGTAACGATCCAACTGGAATTCATGAGGAGATCATGGAAATTCAGGAGAATCTTCAGCTATTGTTGGCGTTGGCAGGGCGCCAAAATTACACGTCCGGATATTGCCTCCGAGCAGTCAGGATAGCATTGCCAACTCAATCTTGAAGCACCCAAGAATCAAACCATTGAGATGCTAAATGATAATCTTCAGCCATTGAATCATCGGGATTTCGTTGCTAATCCACAGTTTCCAGGTCACTAAAAACTTGAAAAACTTAGGAACACAAACGTGGAAATGGGGTACCCAAGGACTTGACCCATAGCTGCAGGGTCTTCACAACGGTGGTGCCTTTGCTATGGCCTGGGGCACCCAGGGCCGGGGTGGCTTTGGCCCAGGGGCTGGGGTTGTAACATGTTGTAACATGTTGTAAGTAGCACTCGGAGGATTTTAGAAATTAGCAAATTGTTTTGCAGATGGTCAGCAACTGAACTATAATCCTCAGAAATCTCATATAAGTCTGATGTGTCTTGCTGGCTTGCAACGACCTGACCATGACATCAACGGAAATTATGATTTTGTTCAGGGGAATCATCACAAAAGCACCTTTTTTCAGCTCAGTGCATTAGCATAATGCAGCCAGGTATGATGACATTTTGAGTTGTAACAACAGTGTGAAAATGTTGTGCACAGGTGGTGTATATATAATTTGTTAGGGTATGGGATAGATTTAAGGTTCCACATGCTTCTGAGTTGATTCTTTATTGCAAAGAAAACGAGAGGTTTGGGACCTGTAGGCATTGCTACCCAAAAAATGTCCACTGGCCAATGTTTGATTCGTTACACATTGTGGAATCCGTGATTACGGCTGAGGCTGAAATAGAAGAGGTAGCATTTTGGGTTTTGTGGTGATTTCTTTTCAGTTTCCCATGGAACCCAAACAACACGGAAGATGACTCGGAATGGTGGCGTGATGAAAGGACCCAGAGCTGGACCAGCTGGCAGGTCGATTGTTAGAATCGCATACTTTAGTGATATGCATGATTAATTACACACAATGCATAGTAAATAATGCTACATGATGAAGAGTGTATGTTGTATATATGTAATATGCATATTGATTTTCTCATCCTAATCCTCATCCTCATCATCATCATCATCATGTATTATCATCATCCTCATCATCATCATCATCATCATCATGATTTGCACGGACATGTTTTCTCACCAAATTTCCTAAGTTGGAACCTCAACTTTGGCCACGGCAGGTGCAAGGACCCAATGGAGAGGGACCTGTGGAGGCGCACATTCCCATCTCCCAGATTCAGGCGCTCTGCCCATGAAATCCCGACTAAAATTTGGGCACCTGAGGCTGCAAACACTTCAGTACTGGATGCTAAAGTGATTGTTTTGGATGTGTCTGAATATTTTGGGACACCCCCATTCCTCTGTTTCAGCGTGTTCCCTGTCATCTCGTTGTATAGATAAACAATGATACCGGCAATGATACCTAATTATTTTGCAAGGCTTACCAGGATAAGCATTGTTTCATAGAGATATATGCACACATACTTACACATATATATATACACACACACATATTTCTCTCTTACTTGTACCAACATATTGGCAGAAAATATCCACCAGTCAGCTGCTAACATCATGAGTTGTCATGCCGTTCATCCCGCCACGCTGTGCCAGGATGGTTTTTTGGAGCACCCAGCTGATGTCTTGGAGGTCTTCCAGGGATGCGGGATGCTGGTAAAGGTTGGTGAGAGAGTTTAAAGACTTTCACCCTTTGTCATAATTGGTGATATGCACGAACCAGCTACGCAGATTCTGTTTTGCCAATTATGCACGACTTGCCATGTATAAAACATAATGGCGGCAGCGCCGGCTGGCGTCATGCACAAGACATTGCGCTGGAATCCTGCCGACAAAGTGTTAGTGCGCGTCAGCCCTGTGGGAGTCATTCAACCTACACCTTGATTGCGTCACGTGCTATGTACGTGCTGCCCTTGTTTAGGCCGGAGGGAATCTTGCACAGAGACAGAGAATTGCAACATCATGTCGATTGGTGGAGGATTTGCTCAACCAAGTCCCTGCAAAGTTGCGGGTAGTGCCGCCGTTGCTGGAGACATTTCCATTTGGTCCTAGTATCAGCTAGAGTACGTCCTTTTTTTTGGGGCACCTGTCTCCCCAATCACTCTTCTGGTCACATGTTTTTTCCTTCTGTGGACAGCAGGGCCGATGTGACTGGTTGTGTACTGTACCGCCAGCATATTGCATAGTTTTCCGTCGGATGTGTGTTTTAGACAAGACCATCATCCATGTTCCCCAAGCCTATCCATAAAATATGGTAGATTTCCGGGAAACTGCCGGAGGAGCTTGTTCACTTCCGATTTTGGAGATTTATGAAACTAACGAAAATTATGTACCCAGATTTAGACACGGACTTTTGGCTGAACCTAATGTAGCGTCCAAATATGGCCAATCCAGATACTAGAATTGTAAGAAACGGACCCTTACCTTCAGGCTGCATGGGAACCAAAGTGTTGGGGGAGATCAAGACAAGCAATGGCTACATGTTCGATTCCAGAAACATGGTGTCAAGCTTGAAAGATGTGACGTTTCCCCAACCCAAGCGGTGAAGGACCAGCTGGTAGTTCCTTTGATGTCTGTGACGGATGATATGTGTTGCCCTGCAGTAATTTAAGATGGAAACCCATGGTGTCCTTAGGAAAGCAATTGCAACTTGTAAAATTCTACATATTAAATTGCTGGAAGGTCACACACAAGTGCTGGATCGTCACCTTTAAATATCCGGCAGGAGGATGGCAGGACAACATGTGGGAACTTCTGTGATGAGTCTTTTTGCTCCAAAGGGGTGCAATCCCTGGCACGTTGGCCAGAAGTTTTATTCAGGTTTTAACAAGACAGGGGGTGCTTTTGAAAGGACCGGACTATCTCACTTGGTACAATATTGGATACAGTAGAGCATTATACATAATCATATTCATATATATTATATACATATATATATACATACAGTGGATTGCATAGATCCATCAGAGGAAATGCATGGCTTTTGGGGACATCACGGGACATCGTCACCAATGCCAGCAGAATGCCAGTGGTCGAGAAGCACCCAAACAAAATGATGGTAAGACTTTCTTTACCACGAGACTGGCAGGGCAGAAATACTTTATACTTTCTTTGGTGAGCCAAGTCGCCTTGTGGAATCTCAATGAAGGAACCAATAGAGACTTTTATCACTTTCCCCTTTCAATTTCGAACAGTTCAAAAGCCAGTTCAAAGTTGTAACTTTCTCTTTTTTTCCACTACCCCCAAGTATTCTCGGACAATGATCTCTCCAATTTACCATTCCCCAGCGTTGCTCAACCACCCCTTTTTGCCAGCCCGGACAAAGTGTCCGTGTGCGCGTGGTGAAAGTGGAGGGTGCCAGGCCAAGTTTGTGGACATCCAACGGTCTTGGTGGGGATCATTTCAGGTGGGAAATCCTTGCTGGGCATCTCCCACCTTGAAATGCCGCTGATGTAGCTGGCCCTCAATTATGAACAAAGGATTGACCAGCATACCAGTCAATACCAGTCAAACAGGACTTTCATACATTCCCTATAAGTAGAAAGATTGGAAATTCTTCCAATATATGTGGTGCCAAGTTCAGCCACTGATACTGGTGAGACATTCAATTATATGGAATCCAGGTCTCACATTCCCAACTTGCATATTCGTTTTTAATGCAGAGATGCAGAAAGTTGTCCCCAAAAAGTCCCAAACCAGGCTTTCAGTGTCGATGCGGAAGTTGTCGGCAAGATTGCGAGCAGAAGACCAGGAGATCATTGACTTGAAGGTGACCTCACCACAAGTTTAAAACCAACCATTTATATTGGGATACAATTGGGGTATAATGGAACATAAGACCCTGACCGTGAGATGGCTTTGTCCAGAAATGAGGTATACCCATACATGCATTATTGTTTGGCAAGCTTTTTGGGTGACATGATGATTAACAATGGGACTTTGGGGTACCTGGGTAACGTTTTTCAGACAGACCCATTTGAAACCTTTGATGGAATGGAAACCTATTGTTCCGGCTAGTTCCCTATAAATTTACAGGTACTGTAAATGGTATACCAAATGAACCTCGAACCAAGTCTTCTACAAGCACATTATCTGTTTGCAAGATGGCCATAGCATTCGTGGAAAATCATCCCACGATGTAAGCTAATACCGCTATATCGTAATTCCATTGTGATACAATAGACTACCCTCCCTCCCTGGGGTGGAAGAAAGACTACTGTCCTCGTGAAATGTCCCTACAGGAGCAATTCCTCACTTTAGGCTGATGCTGGTTTCATTCTCATTATCTCTCCAGCAACCCATCTTGCATCAAAAATGTGGATGGTGAAAAGACAACACTTTTTCGCAAGTCATGGCAGGATGGACAATGCTTTTGCTTTTACCATACGTTTATGAGATGATTGGAACCCAATATACATGCAGCCGCTATATAGCCGCATAGTTTGGGTCGAGACATCAAAAAAGGCAAAGTTTCTCCGATGGAAACAGTCGTGGCATGATATTTTAGCTGTCAGGTGTCAAAAGGTGGTCAAATGGTACACCGGCGTGAATCAAGAGCTATATTGTGTGTATATCACACATAAAAAGCATTTAAAAAACGATACAGGTACAAGTGCTTCAAGACATTTTATATCTACAAATTGTAAATTGTGAAACCTAGATTTATAGGTGTTTCAAAATGATCTATTTTTGAGGTCCATTGGTATGCACATTGGGCACTGCCAGTGGTCGAGATTGAAATTTCCGTGAAGTTGAGGGTGAGACGGAATACCTAGGAGCTGAGCCAAGCTGGGAAGAACTATACTGGAGTCAATGTTTAAAAGAGTTTGTCACTTTCCCAGCACCTCCATCCGTTTTTGTACTGGAAGGAGATCACATCGAACTGCTTCAACAATCGATGGTCGGATGTTGATATATCCCATAAGATATCCCCATTATATTCCCATTACATTCCCAGTAAAGGAAAAGAGAAACTATTCTTCATGGTTGAATCACCATACATGTATGCATAGTATGCATACATAGATATATACATACAAATTATATAAATTATATAAATATGTATCCCCAATATAATTCCCCATAAAACGTTGGTTTGATCCAGTGTTCTCTCGGAACCGCTGGGCCCCAGGACGTGAGCTCCCTTCTGGAGGTTTCACCCAGTGAATGGTTCACCGGCAGGTGGGGAGCTGGGGATGTTGCACCTTTGTGAAACAGCCATTGGTTTATCCATTAATATATTGATATTGATATTGATAACATCCATGAATAGATATTGATATTGATAATAAATATTATTAATAATAGGTTCATATTATTAATAGATATTGATAATATCAATTAGTCTGTCCATAAAGATCAGTTTAAAGATTAGGATTCCTATTCTCCATTGGGATCATGACAAGGGGGTTCTACCATGGGATTGAGCAATCTATTGCCTGGGAACAGGACCATTCTTGGAGTTCTACCGTTGTCTTTTGTTAATATTGGGGTTCTACTATACATTCCAAAATTCTCCGGGATCATGACAATTCATGGAATAATTATGAACAAACCAGAACCAGTTCGCAACCAGGTTTTTGCCACTCAAAGAAAAAGAGAAGTCGTTAATCAAAACCCTGGTACCCTGCTCACACCAAAATATATAGGTGTGTGATGCAAATGGATGTTCATCCATGCTGAAATATGGTATGTACTTGATCCCCATCTTATGGCAAAGGTTGGAGCTGGTGATTTTCTGGCCAAAATTTTGCTGCTGGTTTTTGTGGAGGTCCAACAGTGCCAAAATCAAACGTTGGAGTAGCGTTTGTTTATGATCCTAATGGATGTGGCCTAATGTCACCGCTAAAGCTGGGTTTTTGTGTCTCTGTCTTCACAAGAACCAACTGGCAATCGAATACTTGAGTTTCGAGTTTGTTACGAGAGAGCAACCATTTTTTATCTTGCATCCATGGCTTTCATCAAGACACATCTAACATTTCATGTTGTGAAATCAGAATGATTTTGGCATGATTTGGGTGTCCGGTAATCAAACATGGCTCATTGAGAAACCCCGAACTAAATAGGCATTTAAATTTAAATGATAAAATCATCGAAATCCAGCAGTCCATGTTTGATTACTGGAGGCAATGTCGAAAAAAAAGTTGCCACCAGCAGAGTTTGGGTGACTAGTTCAATAGAAATTTTCTTGGTTGGAAGTTAGAATATGCCACTACAGGGCTGTACGATGATATCATGTTAGCTTTGATATTTATTTAAACATCAAGACAAATAAACTACACATCCCATGTTGAAATTGTGTCGGAGCCGTACCGTTGTGAAACCGTCCTTTCCCAGGGTGGATCATGCTGCACCCTTTGGGGTGTTTGTGGAGGTTCTGGGAGCATGGTGTGGATGCTGGGTGGCTTCACGGCTTCACGTTTGCATCAAAACTGATTTAACATGATATAACAATTACAACAATATTATTAAAAGAATTTAGAAGATGTTCTAGCCGATAGCCCTGGGATGAGTCATGTCACATGTTGAGTCTAATTGAGATTCAGGATCAAAACCTTCATCTCCCACATCGGACTGGTTAGATGCAAACCATCCCCAAAGTACGGGCACTTGGAGTACCCCCCATCTTGTGACCTTTCAAATCCTTTCAAGCTAAGTTAATTCGGTAGATCTGGATGATTCTGGATGCTAGAGCCATGAAGATGGGATGACCATCTCAATGAGCTTTGATGTTTCCAAAGTGGGCAGGTGAAACACCGGTTCCAGTTAATCTACGGAATTGATATTCATACAGTGCGGACGAACAATGGCTAAAGCAACTTATATATACAGATAGGTACATGTGTACAGCAGTCAGTATATATATATATATGTGTGACAATATATTCATGTGCATACAGATGTATAAGTGTAGATATACATACAAGTACATTGAGTACAAATAAATTATGTACCAACACCCCCATGTCGGCTTCACCAAAACCCTTTGACCTCAGATGGACGTCCCGGATGAGGACAGCAAGGCGTTTAACGGGCAGATGGTGCCCTTTTTTTCTTCCGAGGAATCAGACAATGTGGGTTTTACATGGTTTTACAGTCTTGCCCTATGGACAACTGAACATTAACAAAATAGTGTTAAAGAGTTAAACCCTCAAGGTGTGCGGGTATGTTGAGTCCAGCGTGGGTCGCTCTTGTTATGGGTTTGAAATTCAGACTCCACACTACTCTTCTGGGGATCATGGTGCTTTGAAGGGGGGAAACTCGGGAAGGTCAAGCCTGGGGATGGATCAATAAAAACGCTGGAACTTTACCCGGGCGTTGAAAGTCACCAGCTTTATCCCGTTTCAGGCCACTCATTCCTTGAGGTTGTCCATTTCCAAAGATCTCCAAATGGTCTGTGGCCAGAATGATCGAAATGGTAAACAGGGCCGGTAGAATGGCCATCCACTCGTTATGACTGAATTTGTTCACTTATTCTCCTCTCCTGTTGGCTTTTACCGCCCTTGTGTGTTTTTGATTCCAACATTTTTGTGCAAGGACTTGTTACGCTTGTTGCGGTTGAAAAAAAAAAATTGTAGATGCGGCTCAAAGTTGGGCCCAGAAAATTGCTCATGTTTGGTACTATAGTCATCCCCAAAAAGGGAAAAACGTAAATCACTACTAATTTGACGATGATTGTCGTTTCTATCCTTTTTAGGGTTGCTATAAACCCCAATAAACCCCAATAAACCATCAAAAATCGTAGTAAGTTACACTCCACATCGAGCCATCGCCATATCCGCCAGGTTGTCGGCTTGGTTCATATCTCTGAGATGAGGGTGCCGGGGAGATGGGACCGGATGGTCAGTAACTCAGTAACAATAGCAGGTACATCAGGTACCCAATTCGAAAACCTACGTTGTGCACCAAAAAACACAGCCAATAAGCTTCAACAAGCCATCACTTTCTGAATTTCATTGGCTTCTATTGGCTTCTCCGGCTTGCAGTGGCCATTTGCTGAGGGAAACATATCCATTAGCCGCTCATTAGCCACTGCATTGTCGAAACATTGAATGTGTGTGGGCTCTTGTCCCCACATTTTGTTTGGTTTACAGAAGATTGTAAGCTCATATGGGGTTGTATCAAAATTCGGAAAGCCCTTTGAAAGTTGTAGACGAGTGGGAGATTGTAGACAATTCTCCTATCAAACCTGAAATAATTACCAAAATGAAAAAGGAATTGTCTGTGGTGATTTACGTTCTCAGCCAAATTGTGTATTGCATTCATTTTTGGATTCTTGTGAATTCTTGTGTTGGTATCATTATTTACTAGCAAACCAATCATAGTTGTTATTTTGGCTTGCAAGAAATTTGCTCATTACTACACACTATCACCATACGTATACGTGTGATTGTTACATCAGAGTACATTCGATCCAAATAATTTCAGTATATTTGTATTTGATTTGGCTAAGCATTTTTTTTATCGTTTTATATAAAAAATATTCATTATTGTTGCCCCCAATCCGATTGGATCCCATTTCCCATCAGGAGGGCCGTGTAGGCGACCCTGCTGCTGAAGTGGAGGAGAAGGGACATAACAAACAAGTGTAGAGATGTGTAGAGGGTTTTCATTGCTGCATTTCACTGAGCATAATCTGGCCCAAGCTTGGAGGTTCTCAATGTATGCTGCCTGCAGGAGCATCATGGATTGGATTGTTTCGATTATATTTGTATCGTAGGGCTGAGTGAAAGTATAAGTTAGTGTATCAGATGTTCCAGATTGAAAATTGCAAATGTTTGTTTTCAGACTATAGGCATGTTTGAATCTTGCGTATTTGGGATTGTTTGGGTGGCTTGAAAACGTGAAGTCCCAAACTTTGGAAAGACTTTAAATCCTCGCTGGCTGGTAAATGATGGTACTAGGAAGACGTATCCCGATTATGGATGATTTTTTTTAAGATATCTAATTTGGGCTGTAAACTGCTCAGATTTTCTTGAAATCTGCGCAGGAGGGGCAAGAGGTGAAAGTGCGCATTCTTGCAGTGGACAAGAACACCGGCAGGCGACGATGGGTGGATCCGGACCCAAAGACCCAAAATAGGTGTAGAAAAAAGATTAAAAAAGGATACCCTAAAGCATCCTAAAGCCTTAAAATCCCATAGCCACTTCTGGAATAATCATGTTGAAAAAGTCAAACCGCTGTCGTACATTCAATCTGACTGAGCAGGATATCGATGTCGATGAAGCCGATACCAACGATTTAAAAAATGGACATGGGTCAAGTCAAGACCTGGGGAATCGTAAATTTTATATTTTTTTTAAGGATATTTATTTTAAAGATTATTAATTTATTTATTCTTAATTTATTCTAAATATTAAAAAAATGATAAAATTCAACAATACAATATTATATTATATCATATTATATCATATTATATCATATTATATCATATCATATCATATTATATTATATTATAATTATATTATCTCATATTATATCATATTATATCATATTATATCATATTATATCATATTATATCATATTATATATTATATTATATATTATATTATATATTATATTATATATTATATTATATATTATATTATATATTATATTATATATTATATTATATTATATTTTATTTATATTATGTTATATTATGTTATGTTATATTATATTATATTATATTGTCTTATATTATATTATACCGTAATTTGATTATAGATATATTATATTACTTATATTATTGGGTTGATGTTGTTAAGTATCGACGATAAAATTTTATACTAAATTATGACGTATTTATGGGGAAATACTTATATGGGCAGGACCTTTTATTTTAATTTACTGATATATTTTGGGGTATTTTATATAGATATACGATACTTACATATTATATCTTTGTGATTTTACTTATTTTATTCCTAAAGATGAAAGTTGTAGTAATTGTATTTTTTCCCTGGATTTAGGTTGATAGCTAAGTTTTAGGAAATCGTTGTAGTTGTGGTGATTTGTGATTTTTGAAATTGGTATTATATTTGATAGTTAAAAAATATATTTGAATTGAATTTTGTTTTAGTTTGGGATTATAGCTGCTGTTTTTGCTTGTAATTGCTGTTTGGCTTGGTTTTGTATTTTGCTCTATTGCTGAAAGCTTTGAGTTTTATAAAGTATGTGGTTTTTAAGGAGTTTATTAGGAGATTTACGGAGTTTGATTTGTAAAATTTGATTGTGGATTTTATTTGGAATTTATTAAAATTATAGTTAGTTAAAACCTAGCCTAGAGAGGTTTTGGAAAAGTTTTGTAATGGTTTTTTGCTCGGTTTTTTGATTTTATTGTTGTTATTTATATTGTTACTTTTGGGTAAGGCGCGTTTTTTGGGCAGAGATTTAAGAGATTTGTGAAGTTGGAAGTTACGTAGAAGAAATTAAAAATATAAGAAGGTTAGTGAGTGGTATATTATGGGGAAATAAATAAAATAATTAATTGGTATGAAAATAAATTTTATTATAAAATTTATAGGAATTTAAAATTAATAAAAATTTTAATAAATTTGTATTTTGGAAAAATTATGAATTTTGGTTAAAAATAATAGCTTTGCTTATTTAAATAAATATGTTTTTATTTAAATAATAAATAAATATATTTGAATTATTTATTTTAAAATTAGTTTAGTTTGAAAATTGAGGAGAATTTATTATTGTAAGTTATGGATGGGAGAACGAAAATAATAATGGAATAATAAATAAATATATTTTTTATTATTATTTGAATTATTTACTTACCTATTTAGTTATTTAATTTATTTATATATTTATTTATTTTCTTTGTAAGTATTTAAATGAAATTAAGCAATTAAATAATATTATATTTTTTAATTTATAAAATAAAATAATGGTTTTGTATTAATATTATTTATTAATATATTGAATTTATTTAATTAAATTATTTTATTTATTACGGAAAAATTTTGATGAATTATATGAAAAATTATTTTTATTATATAAAATAATTTTAGTAAATATAAAAATTGGATAATTTAAAATATTTTTTTTTTAGGAAATAATTATTTGGATTTCTTAATATTTTTTATAAATATATTATTTATATTATATTTATAATATAAAATATATATTTATAAGTTATTGATAAATATTTTATACCCATTATCGTTTTTGGAAATACCT